ATACTTCCGGCGTCAGTGTGGTTTCCACCTGAGCAACACTCGTAACAATTTGTAATGTCTTTTTTTCCCCAATCCGGAATTTTTAGAAACGTTCAGAATATTACAAACCTTAAATAAGGCAAAAGCAGATCTATATTAAATTTTTTTTTACTGCTCTCAATAATTTTTCGAACATTTTGCTTAATTTATTTATTACGCTGATGTTGTATTACAATATTTTAAATCTGCACAATTAAAGCGTATTCGTATTTTGGTGACAAATAAATTAAACTCATACTTTATTTTGTTATATGATAACATAATCGACTATACGTTCTTGACTATTGTGTAAACAGTTATTATCAAAGTTCAAAAACTAAATATTCAGTCCAAGGTTACTTTTAATAGGAACTTTTTATAATTTTATTTACCTACTTGCATACTGATGCAACCTGCTGTAAACAATAGTCCCAACGTCTGTGGTTACTTTTCGTGTGAAGCATCCCTGAAATTAAACAAATCGAAACCACCTCTTTGAAATGCAGTCTGTGTCATCTTCATCGAAGTTGTTCACTTGCTATAATTTTAACTTTGATAACATGGAGGAATAAACACGGTAGGCAGTTTGATTTTAATACAATCATAGTAAAATTTTATTTCTTGGCTCTCTCTCTCTCTCTCTCTCTCTTTTTCTCTCTCTCTCTCTCTCTCTCTCTCTCTCTCTCTCTCTCTCTCTCTCCCCCCCCCCGCTCTAGCCGGATCCACACCATTAGATACTCACCTCTCCATTCCCACACTCCACTATATTGTTACAGTCTGTTAGGATGGGCACACCGCTACAGCTTAGACACCGAGGGCCGAGTGACACGGCTGTAAGGAAAAAATAAATTGTGTAACTAAGGTAAATAATGCTCAAGTTTCATGACTGTGAAACAAAACATGCAGAACTACAGAGGAGAGAATGTGTATATCTATTTTTTAAGTTCCGAAGGGGACTTGCTAAAGCTCAACATGTTTCAGAAAAACACCCTCGCGCTAACATACAACCGCCGTCGCCTATAAAAATAACAACACGCTGTCACGCTAACGAACAACCTCTCCCTAAAACGGAACCCTTTCACGCTAAAATGGTTTGCACAAGTCCTGTTAGCTATCACACAACATGCCGTCGCGCTAACACGCTTTCAGGCAACAAGCCGTCGCGAGTTGTGTGTTAGCTCGACGGCGTGTTGTAAACTTTGTTAGCACGACAGTGTATTGTGCGAATTGAGTTTGTGTGACATGAGGTTAAAGGTTGAATGGGAATTGTGTGTTTGCGTGACGGCATGTTTTGTGTTAGCGCGTAAACGTGTATTGCAACTCGTGTTAGCGTGGTAGTATTGTTCAATGTTGCGATGGCGTGTTGTGTGTCAGCGTGACGGCGGTTTTTTAAAAAGGTTGTTGAGTTTTAGCAAATGGCCTTATCCGGACACCATATTTTACAGTCATGACTTTCAAGTATATGTATTCAAGGCTGTAAAGTAAATTGTCTTGTCTTTGCTTTAATTTTAGTTTAAAGTATAAATTGTTGTAATGCGAAAGCGAAAGTGGAAATCGAAAGCGAAAGAGAACATTATTGGTTGCAAAGCGTGAGAAAATGTGTACAGTGATGACTGTGAAGCGTAAGTGAATTAACTAGAGCCGAGCTGTTGCAAAGCAACGAATAGGTCTTCCGTTGGAGCTACAGACAGGAAAACGTAGCCTTTAGTTAGGTCAAGCCACATTCTAAAGTTATACAAGTAAGCAACCAAAAGGCTTGTAAAGGAAGCCACTTAAATGTTTCCCCAAGAAAAAGAATGTAAAGGAATGTATGCGACCTTGAATTTTCTATATGACCTTGCGTCAAGCAATGACAAACTCTATTTAAAAATCTAATATGTGTGTAACTGACGGGAAAAAGTTACAATTTTTTTAGATACTTTTTTAGTCCATACATCCAGGTAAAACATCTTATCTTTAGTGATCTTGAACTTGAGTCAAGGTCATGTCCCACCCTGCATTATATCAGCAATGTTTCTCAGGTACAAATACGGTAACGAATTTACAGTTTCTCTGTCAGTAACCTTATCGTCCAAATGACTGGATATGTTCAGCCATATTTTTTTTCCCAAACATATACCAAATCGAAAGGATTTATTATGTTTAACACTATAATTTTATAAAGATTTAACTAGAAATATATCTACAGGACATGCCACCGAGTGTGTATTGTAAATACACACTACATTAAAATCTGTATTTAATAGTGTAATGGGAGAGGAGAAAAAGCAGCGGACCAGACCGGGGTTAACCCCAGTCCCCCGAAAATCCGGTCAGGTGCTCTACAAAATGGCTATTGGCCACCGGCATGAACCCGGCTGACCGCCACACTAGTGTATGACATTTGTTGAGAAATTTTAATAGTTTTTTTTTTAAATTAAATTTAAAAAAATGGATATAGATTATGAAATCCCCTTCAAATAATGCATAAATGCCTAAGCTTACATAAAAATATCTTAAATGGTTTTTTTTAATACTATGCAAAATGCAAATCAAAGAAAAGTGAGGTCAAAATGGAAAGTAAAAGATCAAAATGTATGGCATAGAAAAGTTTGAGATAAATGTCTTGAATGGATTCTTCAAAACTGAGCTCGCCCGTGTGGCACAGTGGTTAAGCATCTGTTCTAGACTAAGGTTTAGATAGCTCTCAGAAGTGTGTATCAGCATATGAAGTTAAGTAAAAATATAAATGCTCTCTTAAAAACTGAGCGGTTCCTTCGGACGAGACCTTTAAAACCGAGGCCCTGTGTCAGCGGCAGGCGTTGGCACATAAAGACCCCCACTGCTCAATGGCCCTGAGTGCCGAGTAAAGGTCAAAATTTGAAGCCCTTCGGTGACGTCTCCATATGAGTGAAAAATTCTCGAGAGGGACGTTAAACAATATACAATCAATCAATAAAAACTGAGCTAAATATAACTTAAGTAAAGTGAGATCAAGGTTAAAAGAGAGGTCAAAAAAAAAAAAAATACTGATTTAGTTGAATAGCTTACATTAGTATGTATCACCAAAAGAAGTAAATGAATACTCAGTCTTGAATGGTTTTTTGTTCCCCAAACAAAGTTGGGGAACATTTTTGTTTTACTCTGTTTCTTATTATTATTATTATTATTAGTTCCCCAAACGAAGTTTGGGAACATATTTTTTTACTTTTTCTGAATTTTTTCTTTGTTCTCCGGTACTTTTTTTGCAGTTTCTCGTAAACTCCCATCCGATTAGGTGAAACCTTTTTAGGGTCACTGGGTATGTTTGTGATTGCGGAACGAAGGTCATTTTGCGCGCACGTGCGTGCATGTGCGCGCCGTGTAACACGTGAAATGACCAATATAATAATTTAGCCGTAACTTTTTAAATATTGGATGAAATGTTTTAAACTCATAATATAAGGATATGATAGTAGTATAGACATGATGACATGGTCAAAATAGCAAGATCTACGGCATGCAGGTGCCCTTCGCTGCGATTGGCTGAAACTAAAAGTCTAAATATCTATTTTGTTTTCTGACAAAATCCTTTGAAATTTTGAACATAGTCTTACATTATGAAGATCTACAGCATGATATATAAGAATAATCATAACGCACGCACATGCACGTGTGCTGCAATCTGATTGGCAAAAATTTTAAATGCCTACAACTTTCTTGGTTCTCAATAATACAGGGTGAAATTTCAAATATGAATAGATATAATGATTGCCTACATTATACTAATATCAAAAGTAAATGCATGGACGTGCATGCACATGCGACCGCACACAATGTATTAAAAGACAGTATACTTGAGTGTTTGATGTTCATGCAGAGTTAAGAACTTCTAAATGTCAAGACATGTAACATACTGGGGCATGCAGATCTTTTTACCCTTGACCTTGAAACTTAGGTCAAGGTCACTGGTAAAATGAATAAAATGTTTATATTAGTTACTTACCAAAATCACCTTGACCTATGAACTTGAAATCGACCTTAACCTTTGTCCTTGACCCAAGGGTAAAAAGAAACATGAAGTACATGTACATGTATCTAGAAACACCTTTCAGAGTTATTTCGGTTGACAGGTTAGAAGTTAAAGAGGTGGTGGTTTTTAATGACCTTGACCTTTCATCCAAATGTCACAATCAATTTTAAGTTCTTGGAATAAGATTCAACTCCAACGTTAAATAGGTTAAGAATAAAAATAACCCCCCCCCTCCACACACACACACACAAACAAATCAAATTTATGGAACGTAGAAATCACTTTTAAACTCAAATAACACCTCGGACCCACATAAAATTTCAGGAAAACTGCAGAAAAGAGCTCGAGGAAAGTGTATTAAAATATTTCTTTTATTTAAAGTATATAGAAATTATTAATTTATACAAAAAAATTCAAATTGTCGTGTTTAAAATTAAAGTGCAGATAACCAAAGTTGGCATATAAGCCTTTAATAGCCTATTTATTCAGATGTCGTTAATAGCATTCAATTCTACTGATTTGAAATAATATTTTAATACCAAGCATCCTTTGTTTAATTTACCTTTGAAATTTATTTGAATTTTTTTAGAATTACGCAACCCCCAGAAATCGTTTTTCGGTATATTAAAAATCAATATACATGTACGCTCCTTCGTAAAATAATCAGATATTTGCATTCATGAAAAAAATATGAATAAGAAGGTGTTAAACAATATAGGTCATATTAGCTGACACGAATGTCTTTTTAAACATCTCTTGTAAAACCCAGAAGTAGCCCCCTATGCATTGGAAAAAATGAATCAAAAAACCTTTATATATTTATTTACAAAGTATATAAAATTTACCAGGCACAGGTATCAGAGTTGTCAAAATGGCCTGAGAGGAAATATTAAAAAAATTCTGAACAGAAAGGAAAATCCCTTTTCCATGTATGGAACTACTATTGAATAAGTTTTTTTTAGGTTAGGTATTGGAGTGATATCCGTAGTCGACTTTAACCCGCCTTGTCGTCGGAATAAAACCGACTTGAGCCCGAGGTTAAAATGTAAGAAATAAAATGTGAATCGATATATTAAAAATATGACATATGCTTGAAAAATGGTAAATTTATATATGTTTTTTTTTTTGATTCGCGGGATAAAAGATATGTTAATCGTTTAATCAACATGCCATAATCATCTTGCATATGCATGTACATGTACGGGTGCGCGCATGCAAAACGTTAAACAATAGATCTTGATAGTTGATATCATTGTAACATTTATATTCTTAAATGAAATCCGGGGATATTAGCAATTTATAAAAGGTCTTAGAGGAATAAGGCACGATAAGGGACAGGGGGAGCTTTGGGGAACATCTGTAACGGTCCCCTTACAATTAGCACTAGTTATGTTCCCCAAACGAATTTGGGGGAACATTTTGTTTTTACTCTGTTTCTTATTATTATTATTAAGGCTTCCGTCTTCACGGAAACCTTATAGTGATTCTACTGTTTCTTATTATTATTAAGGTCTTCCGTCTTCACGGAAGACCTTATAGTGATTTACTGTTTCTTATTATTATTATTATTATTTTATTATTCTTATTTTTTAGACAAATTTTGTGCACGCGATATCTAGAACTATTCATTGGTTTTTCATCAAACTTTGAGGGATATGGTCTCATATGCCATTGTTACATTTGGAAAAATTTTTGGGAACAATTCGCTTCCGGTGCCAAGTTATGGCCATTTTTCTGATTTTAAAATGAAATTTTGTCAGTTCGAGATAAAAAACTACTAAAGTTTGAACTGGAGATTGTTGGAGAACATAGGGCATGACTTCTAGATATGCGGAATGTC